GCCCTTCTTGGTGCACTGGAATTTTTGCCCTATAGGTACTAATTCCTTCAGTGGGTACTCTTGAAGGGCTTCTGAATAAGCTCACTCTTACCACCTGCTTTATCCAAGGGCAAATCCTACTGTTGGAACTTGTTTGCTTGGCGGAAACTTTTAACAGGAAAAGAAGCTTCACTCGTTACACAAATAAAGCTACAGCATTGCAAGATTACTATAATGTTATGTACACAGACCTCCCACATATAACTCACTAAAATGTCACCAATTACCTCTATGGTGAGCCTGATTATGCCTTAAGACAGCATGTAAGTTTCTTGATCCTATACTTTTTAATCAGTACATGAACCTTGAAAAAACAAGATCATCACGTGCAGTGCATAAAACCAGTGCTTATGAAGTGCAATGATGCCATCGGAAGCATCAGCAAAAGTAAATTCACCCTGCTAGAAAGCAAATTCTGCATGAAGCCTGTAAATGTACCGTTAACAAAGTCTTCTCGACAACTTCATTACTTCTACTTCTTCAATTTGCATAATCCTGTCTCATGCATACCTTGCTGTCAACCCAAAAATTGTTGACCTACGAGGTGTTACTCATGTGACCATGCTCATTTAACATACCTGAAAGCCTCAGAGCTAACATAATAAAATTGAAGACTTTAATAAATTAATGCTCTCTGCTACTCACCCCTTCAAAAAAAATTTTTAGCATCCCCTTCAAACCTGTTTTTTTAAAGACTCAACAGGCACAGTGACGTGACTCATGAAAGGCATATCCGGAGCTTGTGGTGCAACTCAAATCTTTTTGGAGCAGCGTAAAAGCCGCCTGAAGCTTTTAAGTTAGAGCTGTTGCACCACATGTTACAGGGAACTAGTTCATGAACATATGCATGCATGTTCACTTGGACTTCTGCTCAACATAAACAAAGGCTTTTTGCTTTTTTTGCAGACATCCCCAGTTTATATCAAGCTACCTAGCGCTTTCCGGGAATTCACATGGCATTTGTAAATGACTCTGGCTTTCAGTGATAGTTTAGCTACAATATTGAAGCACAGACTGGAAAGACTATTTATGCATTGTATTGACTTTCCAAAAAAAGAGTCTGATTATATTAATGCTTTTATTAGTACAACCTAATCGTTCAATGTGTGGAGAAGTGGTTGCTGTCATTGTTTATGTACAGAATTGTTAGGTTCCTGATTAATGAGCACTTCATAAAAAAGAAAGGGTTTTGTAACTGGTCCTTACTGCCCATAATTTATTATGACTCGACAAAATTTAGAGTTATGGGGGAGTAAGTAATTACACTTGGCAAACTGTTTGACATGTACAGTCGTCAAGGTCGAGAAGCCCAGCCGAGACATACCGGAATAGTGGAACACCATGCTTTCTAGGAGAAGTAACAGTGATTGTACAGCATGCGGTACTGCTGATAAAATTTGCCCAGTGTATGGACTTAAAACTTAACCACCTTGTATGAAATATTTTGAAAGTAAACTGTAACAAATAGCACCACAAATAAAAAAAATAACTAAGTGGTCAGTTTTATATGCAGGTACCAAATTACTGTATTTTAATACAGTAAAGCAAGACTGTTGTCCAAGCACAACTAGCTGATTATTACTTTTATCTGACAGTAACCACAACAGTTAGAAACTATTTGGCTGAAGTCACGTGGTAACTTTTGTAGTATAAGCGGGTTCAGATTGTTAAGAAAGTTGGTGCCCAGCAACGTTTTCAACTACATTGCACGTTCATGTCCACTGTGATGACATTTCCAAATCGCAGGGGTAACGTATGGATTTCAAGCGTATGCCATATACTTGCTCCCTGAGAGAACACAACAACGAAGAGTGCACGCATGCTTGACACAAATAATGAAATTTTTGAAAAAGATGTAGCAGGTTTCGTCTCTTGGTGCAGATCCCTGCAGGCACTTACCCAATCACCAACCCATTTTGCCAACAAACAGCCCATGTAAGATGTTCGAACATTCGCTATTATGTCGGGTCATAACCAGTTTCCTCTAACCACCTTGCACTTAGTTCTGGCACGACATATGTTTCAAAGATTTATTTCTTGCAAACTGTGCGAGTAATTGTAGACCATTCTTCAACAGTTATTTTCGTGCTTACTCGATAGGAAAACATGAGCTACAAATTTTCTAAGTTTCTAAAATGTGAATGGTAATTGAATTGTGAATGGTAATCTACACCCAGCCTTAGTATATATTTCCTTCATATTCATTTTCAATTTGAGACATGGCACAAATTTTGAAGTACGACTGAAGCCTCTCATAAGCATGTTTCGTTTACTTGAAGGTGCCATTCAACAATCTTGAATTAATCCTGCAATGAACTAAAATCTGAATGCCTTGCGAATTGCCTGCCACAAAATGTATTTTACTATGTAAATTGTTCTGGGCTTGTTACACAAACTGAAGATGATGACGATACTGACTGCCGCATCGTCAGTGATGAGACAGAGGATAGCGCATGTACAATTTAGGTGCACACACGAGGCCCAATGTCAGTGCTACATTTCCAATTTACACATGAGCGTGCGTAATATCTATGCTTTGCCGCAATACACAGCGTGCACTTTAGCGCAAGGCACGACTGCCTTGCGGCACTGTTTAATTTTAAGAAGACACTTAAGGTTGCAATTTCGACCAAATATTTATAATGCTCCCAGCATATATTCAATTTTATTTCTTTTTTTTTCTTTGTATACACCCACAAGAACAGACATAGCTTAGAAAACCGATTATCGTAATCGGCGACAGCATATTTAGGCCACTTGGAAAATAACGTCGTGTGAACGCCTGGTAATACTCCATCGCTTCCAACTTGTCCATTTCGTATCTGTGTCACGCAGTTACGCAAGAAGAAGCTTCAATGAAAGTTTTGGCGCAAGCACACACTTCACCCAAGCGACACATCGATCCTTACGCTACACACGCACTTACCAGACATACACGTACGGCCTACATCCACAAATAGCATAACACACGGTGTTCATGATCGGGCAAGTCGTTACCACATTGCTTATAGACAGTATTACAGAACGAGACCACGTATCCATGCGCAGAGGCGGTTCTCGCGAATGCATACAACTCCCGCTCAAGCAAAGACCACGGATAAAGAACCACCGCACGGTAAAGATCCTCACAAATTAGGAACCTTAGACCTTTTGTTCCCACCACCTAAACGTCCCCAAAAAATGTCCAACACGGCGATTCTGTCGCCGCCTATTCATACATCTTCAGCCAAGTCAAGCCGGTTTTAAGGGGCTATTGGGTGAACCCACGGAGGAAGGAAAAAGGTAAGGAGAGGGCATGCCCAGCCGGTGCAGGGCGTAAAAAATGTGGCGGAAATGACATCATGGCGGCCATATTCAGTAGGCACAATGGCCGCGTTGTTATGATTACGTGTTGCGCAGTGAAGCTGGTCTAGCAGTGAGCGGCCGCGGCTGGCGGCGGAATGTGTGCCTCCCCAGGTCTCGTGCTGAGCCGTGGCGGACAATATCTGTGCTCTGCGCCGCGTTATTGGTTACGCATTGTTCGTCTGACTGTTACATTACTCTTAGCAACGTTTACAAATCTCTTTGTCCATCACGGGGTTTCAGCAGTGCGTAGAACAAGTGCATATCCATGTGTCGTGCGGCGGATGACGCGGATGAAGCAGTTAGTGTTCAGCGAAATGGCGTTGGGCACCATGACGAAGCTGAATGACGACGAACGCCTTGCAGGTCAGTGACGGTTGAGTAGTGCTCCTGCTTGTGACAACGGACGACGCTATTGAGCCCAGCAAGACGCCGTGAGGACCATGTGCACATACGTAGTTTCGTGTTGTGTGTGTACAGTAACAACTTGCATGTGCGTATTAAAACACCTTTTTTGTTCCGCTTGGTACACTCTCCACCAGCATTGCATGTAATCTCAACGTAACAGCAACCACGTTCAACTGTCACTAGCACCGTGCTCAAAGTCACCACGGTCGCAGAATGCTGACGCAGGTGAGTTTCACGCGAAACACGGACACAGTGGCAGGACGCTGCGTCAGTCGCGTGGCAGATTGCAACTGTAGAAGGCGCACGACCGATCGTGTTGTCTGTACAGTTGCTGAATTAATGACGTGAAAGCACTCGCCGTTGTCAGTGCATCTAGCGCGCGTTCTTTCGTAGTTGCTTCGTTGTCAGCGAGCTGTTACTCTTTGTTATTACTCGGACGAAGCGATTTCGCTGAAGGTGTCCCGCTGGCTCTGAGTGATGAGCCCAGTTCCATTAGTTTCGGATCGTCACGACACACGCGCTGCGCAGCCCACGTGCTTTCCGAGCCGGAGAGGGAGTCGCGCCTTCTGCTTCGCATTCATATGTAAACAAGAGAGGAGAATTTGCCTACTCAATATGGCCGACTTCCGGCTTCATCGCGGCTTCACAACGAGTGACGTCAGGGCCTCTCCTTACCTTTTCCTTCCTCCGTGGGGTGAACCGAACGTTTTGGCCCTCAAAAGGTTCGTGCCACCCGGTGGCAGCAGAGGCGGCCCCTGCGCCGGCTGGGCATGCCCTCTCCTTACCTTTCCTTCCTCCATAGTGTGGCAGCTGTTTTTCTTCTCATGCGGCAGGCATCTTCCTAGAGGAAGCGTTGGCCAAACAGAACCTTGCCGTGTAGGCACACGCTTCGCAAGTCTTCGTGCCGAGTTATGCAGCAGTCCGGACTTTCCCGAAAAACTTGCGGTATGTCGCGACAGCAGAGTTGTTTAAGGGCCGTTGGCACCGCTCCACAAAGCCCGCTGTCGCACCTACACTCGCGAAAATCGGCCTAAGTTATCGTTATCGTGGACACCGCACGAACACCGCGAAATGAAAGACAATGACGAAATCGTTTCTACGCTTGTTATTATGCAGCACAACGTACAAGTTACACGCGCGACACAGCAAACGCGGATGCGAGGACGAACAAGTATCGAACAAAAGGGGCTACTTGAATCATTTACACTTACCCGTTATCGTTGACATCGTCATGGAAGTCCGGTGAGTCAGGTGGCGGCGGATCACTGCTGTCATCCTCGGCACGAAGCGCAGAATCGCGAAACGGTGTCTCACTCTATGGTTCAAAAACCATTTCATCGCTCATTCGGCGCAAACACTTTTCAAGTCCGGGGTTCGTGGTCAGCAGTGGTCCAAAGCGCCGTGAAACAAAACATAGGCTGCTCGCGTAGAGCGCACTGAAACAGACGATCACCCACCTGGCCCAGCCGCCGTCAAGCGCCTGACTGCCGGTGGCTCTGCTCTGGCTTTGACTTACCGGGAGCAGACGACACAACGTCATGCACGCGTTCTGCGACGTCACATTGTGACGCAGGCTCTATGAAGGCGGAGCTTAACCCCGAACGCTCGAAGGAAAAGTTGAGAGAAAAGGAGAAGCGGAGGAGGAGAGTACCTTTTCAGTACGTGAGGTATGCGCCGAGGTGGTTTGAACCGGCGGCAGCATGGAGGTCGTTCCGAGACGGCGGCGCCGGTATGGTGGCTAGAATTCTAGCCACCATAGCGCCGGCGTCGTCGGCGCACGCCGGGCGAGATGATCGGCAGCGGCGCACGGCCACTTTTCATCGGCGGCGCCGGCGACGTGTAAACTGAAACTTCAAGTTCAAAAAAAAAAAAAAAAAAAGCAACTTTACTGTGTTTTTTCGCTTATTTAGTTGAAACTCACTACTTTTAACAGTAATGCCAGAAAGAACACCTTGGAGATGCAAGTGAACTGGCAAACGTTCCGTAAATGTTTTGTTTTTGAGCATACATATTAAATATGTTCTTTCAGTGCGCCCCGTTTGTTCACATAGGTAACACTGTATCACAAAAAATTTCATTTTTTATTACTCTCACAGCGATGCTGTTATATCTGCTACGTAGGTTTCTTATTTTACTTACACTTTATATTGTTTTTTTTTACTCTTAAGTAACTGTTAATCTCCTATTTATTATTAAATGTGCAACTTGCCTCTGTAATGCCTTCCGGCTTTGAGGCTACAAATAAATAAATTGATAATGATTGAGCCTCTTTTCTACGGGTATACAGGGGCAAGTTGTGTTCGCAGTCTTCGTGTGTAAAGTACTGCTTTTTTTTTTTAACAGACAGGTGGAAAATTTATGTAGGTCACAAAGGCATATTCATGACACACATGAAAAAGGCGCTAATTCGTCTCCCATGAGGGGACATTGCTCAGCGGCTTGTCATGCAAGTGCTACAAAGCAACGAATACGAAAAGAGCGAAATGAATATAAGACTACATGCGCTTTTTTTATGTTTCCATATTCAAAGACCCCATTCTTGTGAGACGCAAGGAGGTGCGGGGTGGGGGGAGCGGTGCTTGAGTCTCATTTGGTTGTGAGACCCCTCTTTATCTACATACCAGCCCATACTCCTTCCCCGTTTCTTTCTCTTAAAAGGAGCACTGAAACAAAATTTTGAAAGCGAGATAACCTGTCAAAAAGATTTGTGTAGATACACACATCATCTACGAAATGTAAACAAAAATTGTCACCTAGAACGTATTCAAAATTAATTTTGAATCGCGTGTCGCCCAGTGGCATACTAATTATGCCTTCGTCATTTGTTAAACAAAAAACCTACCCCCGCGTCACTAGTTTTGTGTTGGCTGGTTCTGACGAACCATTTCAACGAGATTGTGGTTATAAAAGGGAAAAGAAGAGAAAAGTGAGCCCCGTAACTGTCTGCATCAGAGTGCGACACCTCAAAAGTAGCTCACAAGTGATGCGGGTGAGGAGGGATTAAAAGGAGAGGAGTGGCAACAAAACCTTCGTTGAAAAGACTTGTCGACGTGGTGGTTCACTTGCACGTGGTTTTGTGCGTCCACCTAGCCAGTTAGCTATGCACGAAAACCCAGGATTTCTTTCCTCTAAGCGAAAATCTCTCTGGGTCCCGCCTGTGGAACCTCGCTCTCTGGAACCAAGACTTCAACAATAAACACCGCGCGCTCGAGCAAACGAGCTTCCTAGCCGTGTGTTGCAAAAAAAGCGACCTTTTTTGCGTAAGTGCCTTTTGCCCGTAGAGTCCAAAAAATATGGGCTATTGATGAAAGTGCACCAGTCTTATCTCCTATCACAATGTGTTGGGGATGGGGGAGGGGGGGGGGGGAATGGGCGTAATGTACAGCTAGAAGTGGGGATGGTTGTAAATTAAATGTCTGCCGCAAATGCTTTAGCAACGCTTCATTGCGCAAAAGATCCTCTCTTTTCATCTTCCTGTGCTATCTCCATGCCTTCTCATAACCCGCCGCTCAGCTTTGTTCTGTGCTTGCCAGCTGTGGCTAAGGCGAGTTTTGGCTAATCCCACCAGCCTCACAGACCAGTTACTACTGGCTTCCCGTGAAAAGCAATCATACCCGTACAAAAATGTTCGAAATAACCTTTGTCGGGCAAAAATAAAAAAAAATCTGAACAAACGTGAAAACTCCAATCAAAATAATCAATCATCCAATCACCACTTGTCACCACAGTGGATGAAGGGAGAAAATAATCCGTGACCTCGGCACCAAGAGTTATTTCGAAAGGCGTTTATTAGCAGAGCCCTCCGTGAGAGAAAAGGGGAAAATGTGACACCACCGCGCCGCAACAACACCACGTGTGGATCCCCTACATCTTGGGCGCCAGAGAAGTTAAAAAGGTACGACTCAGACGTTCCCACAAGCTTTCCACCACCATCGCCAGTTTCATCCTCTGGTCTAAACTGGACCGCGGGAAAAGCGCAAGGCGTCGTGTGCAGGATCGCATGTGCCAACTAAACCAAGAACTTCCATGAAAAAATTTGAATGTATGTGTGTGGTTGAAGCCCTTGCGGGAGCACAGCTTAGCGCATTGGGGGGGGGGGGGGGGAGATTTGAAGTAGGTAGAAGAAGGTTTGGAAGAATATGACGGCCATGTCTGGTAGAGAGAAAGCGGATAGGCGCCGATGGAAAGACTGCCCAAGTCGTAAGACTTAGAAGTGTGGGGCTGCAGGAGACATGAAGTGGTCCTACAGCTTGAAAAAATGTGGCAGCACAGGAATGACTTCGGTCAAATGAACAGTGGACCGAGCGCAGAGGCAGAACTTGTAAGCGGGTTGGCCACCATACCAGTCTCGATACCGCGCTGATCTAAACGGAAAGAAACCTTTGTCGGCGGCACCCCTTTGAATCCTGGCACAGTCAACAGATAGTGGGAGAGAACAACCCCACCACTGGGGACACTGCCCTTCTCTACTTCCAGGGCTTGCAACGAGTGGTGGCAAACATCTCGGGCCTTCTCACCCCTGAAGAGAAAAGCCGATCAGGCTTCAAAACACCTGCTTTCTTAATAAATGTTGGCGAAAGTTTCCTGTTTTTTTATTTTTTATCCTAACCAAGTAGAGGCTTTTGCCGAATGCTCAATTTTGAAATAATACAGATATCTATGCACTAAACACGGAGAGTAGAGCTCGTTGCTGCGTTATGTAGCCTGTCTGCATTCCTTGGGGCGTACAAAGAACACAAAAGTTCAGGTATGAGGAAGTTGAGCCTTGAAAAAGCCCGTGTCGCCAAGCTTTTCGCAGAATAGACTGGGCGACACACAATGGCAGGTGAGGAACCGCCGAAATTTCCTCCACGTATCAAACCTGACTGTGAATGGAAGAGAGTTTTAGTAAGAAAAAAATACAAAAGAAAAAAACGGCGCTGCTATGCTGTGTCAATACGGAGTCCAAAACTGCAGGCATTCTGGCAAAATGTTTAAAAGCTCCTTAAATCCTCAGGGGTCGCAAAACTTTGACAGCATTACAGTTTGAAGGAATTTGTTTTCTCCAGTGTCTAAGCGTCGCGAACGGCAGGATCGGTGTGTTAATTTCTGCCCCCTTCCTCCTTGGAATCCACTCGGAAAGCTTTCAACGTAGCACATGGCAGGAAATGATATGAAATCAGACAGCATGTGTTGTCACTACATTAAAAAAAAAACTTGAAATTCGTTGAGATGTAAACTTTTTTTCAGCGCAAAACGAAGGGCCTTCGAAATCGAAAGGGCCTTCAAAAGCACCCGTACCGTCTCTCTCGTTCTTGTGAATATTTTGTTTTGCGCTCCATAGTTTTTGAATCGCCACATTTATTAATACAAAAACGGAAGCGGCGTCTGAGGACAAGCAGTTCAATGCAGGAGAGAGCGTAGAGGTACTCGATGATCGCGAATCGTGCTGCTCTGTCGCCTTGGAAGCCCCATGATTTATGAAAGTGGAATACAGTGCTCATTCTTCTTTGGTTTGGGGACATAATTGTAGATCAACCTCAATGAAAGCCACGATGTTGCGTAATGAAATTCCCGGGAGTTGCACATGAGCCAGAACATGCTTCACAACCCACTTTCATGCCCTCTTAAAGCCATGTTCATTTATTCCGGACAGTTGTGAATTACACTAAATACATAATAATGAAGTTACAGATAATTATTCAGTTTCTCCTCTCGTTATTATCGCAATCCGATATGCGTTCTTCTCTGAGAAAAAATCATACGAGTTTCGTAGCATGCATGACCATAAATTGCTCATTATACTTCGTCAGAGTCTGCGAACGGTGTACTCAATAAACGCATTACCTATTGGCAATAAAGTTGAAGCCAGTGCGATGCATAAAATCAGTATTACATCACCAAAACTATGTGTTCTTTATGATATACTCCTAACGTCTTCATGGAAATTCTAACTTCAAATTGTGAAATCACGCCGGCGTGAACGGCAATGGCTCCGTGACCAAATACAAATTTGCAAACAAACTTACAAATAGCTGTGTACCTTAGAAATAGGTAGTATACATTAGCTTCTTAGTAACGCTAGCATTTTATAATTTTGAAATCTCATCTCAGTGGTGCATTTTGTGTCGCCATTTCATTCTGTGCATTTAAGTTGAAGTTATCATTTTTATTCCAAGATATGAGCAAGTGGCTTTTATCGAGGACCTTCACTGGAACGAGTTTCAAGGGTGTGGGGAATGAAACAAATTTACAATTTGGAAAATAATTCTGTGGCTTTACAAGCCGGCACATACACAATTACAAGGCACGCCATAAAAAGAAACTTTAAATATTTGTAACCATAGATCAGCAAAATAAAAAGACGCCACCCTCATTGAATAAGTTTTTTTTTTCGCATAGGACTCGCAAGGACCCAGACTAACCAAAATTCGCTGAATCGAACTAGGAACTCGCTCGAACTCAGACTCACCATGGTAACTTCCCAGCCTGGTTCACTCGGACTGAGGCTAAC